TTTGACTATATTGTAACTCAAGCTGCTTAAACAAGCAAATGAACAATTTAATATTGAGGGAGTTACAGCAATCATCTTAGTACCCAGGACGAAAATCTCATATGAACAGTTACAGTAAAATCCCCAAATATCTGAAATTAAAAGTTTTCTCAGTAACTCCTCTGCTAGCAAAACCTGCCTGAGCCAGTTCACAATCATTATTTACCCATTATAATGTAAACATTTGTAGGTTTCACTGTAGACATAGTATCCTTTGATTATGTGATGCTGCTCCAGACCTCCTAGAGGTGAATATAACATAGTAAATTTACCACATCCCCAAGGATTTCAGATAAGAGAAAGCAGACTTGAATTGTCATTGTGTATTATTTACTAAGTGCCAGGTACTACTTTAGGTATAATTTCATTTAATCCTCTCAACACAGTAAATTCAATCTTGCCGAAGATCACCTAGTGTGTACTAAATGGTAGAGGCAATATATATATATATTTTAAAGATTTTATTTATTTGACACACAAAGAGACAGTGAGAGAGGGAACACAAGCAGGGGGAGTGGGAAAGGGAGAAGCAGGCCTCCCGCCGAGCAGGGAGCCCGATGTGGAGCTCGATCCCAGGACCCTGAGATCATGACCTGAGCCGAAGGCAGTCGCCCAACCAACTGAACCAACCAGGGGCCCTGGTAGAGGCAATATTCAAATTCAGGTTTATCTGAGTCAAAGCATTAATCACTTTTGAAAGTTGAAAAAAAGTACGGAAAATGAACCTCTTAAAAATAGAATACTGGGGCATGGGAAGTGAAAATAATCCTTTGAAAAGATTTAGTATCCCCCCTTCCCTCCTTCCAGCAATCATCTTAAATAACACATCATCTAATAACACTAAATCATAAAGTAACACTAAATCATGAAGTAACACTTAAAATCATTAAAACCTAGTCATTTTCATATGAATGGCTAAGAAAACAAAGGTATCCTAAAGAAGGTACTTCTAAATTTTCTAAATTTTGTTCCATTTTTTTCTCCTACAAGTGAAGTTCAGGACTTTATATTTATCTTGCTACTTATACACCACCTTTGAGCAATAGAAATTTTTTGCAATCCTGATTCTACTATACATTAAGTTCAAGAAGTAGGTCTTCTGTATTAATCTAAATCATTGGTTCTCAAGTAGGGGTAATTTTGTCTCTCCCCTTTGCCCCAACTCCAGGAAACATCTGGTAATCTCCGGGGACATTTCCTGTTGCCACAAGAAAGGTGGGTGGGTAGAGAGGGGGGTGTGTGTGTGTGTGTGTGTGTGTGTGTGTGTGTGTGTGTGTGTGTTACCAACATCTAGTGGGTAGAGGCCAGGGATGCTACTAAACATCCTAAAATGCACAAAATAGCCCCCCACAACAAAGAATTCTCCAGCTCAAAATGTCAGCAGGGCCAAGATGAGAAATCACGATCTAAATCACTGATGGAAATGCTGAAGAAGAATAAACAAAATACTGGGACACACTAAAGAGATTTCCAAGCTGATTATCAATTAACTAACTAGCAATATTCTCAATATTCAGTATGGCTTTCATCTAACTGGGAACTCATCTTAATGCTTTATTCATCTAACATCTGAATACAGACATTTTAAATTCAGTTAGTAGCAAAACCATTTTCATTTAAAAATAATAATGGGCAATTTAACAACAAAACATATGGAAAATTTAGTTACATAGATTTTGGATTATTTTTATTATTATTATTTATAATTTATTATTTTTTTTCACTGAACTGACCCCCAAAATGGTCCTATGAATGAAAGATCATCTTACCATAATGGATTGGATTAAGTCAAACTTTACACTCTGAAACATTTAAATATTCCATATCTCAGGAGAATTAAATAAAAAGCAAATTTAAAAAATGTCATTTCAACCTTTCAAATTAGCAACATTTTTTCTTTAAAGAGAAAACTCAGTGGTAGGGACGTTTAAACGGGTATTCTCATATACTACAAATGGAAATGAAAACTGGTTTAGTCCCAGTTTATTATTAAAAGTCACACTTCACAGATGAGGAAACTGAGGCAAAAAGAAGTTAGGTGGTTTAGCTTAGTATCACATAGCTAGGAGGAGGCTGGTTATAAATTTGAATATAGGCAGCCTGGCTCCAGTTTCTGTTCTTAACTACTCCATCTTACTATCTCTATGTTGTAGAGACTTTTTACAACTATTTAAAATGCATCAAAAATGATTGTAAGACCAAATTAAAGGATAAACAAACTGGTGAAAATATTCTCTATGTATGGAACAGAGTAAGATGAGCTATAAACAGGCCCATCTTAAAAAAAAAAAAAATTCAAGAGCTCACCCTTTCCAATAATTAGATGTAATCTCTGTATTCTCTGATCCAGTAAGTCTACTTTCTAGGGACTGATTGTACAGAAAAAGTCATGTAAACACACAAAACAATTTCTTCAAGAATTATTATTTAATGTAATGTTTATTATGGCATTATTTCTAATAATTAGAAACTAAAATAAGCTAAATGTTCATGAATATGGGAATAATTAAATAAATTAAAATACAGCAGCCATAGCTGGAATATACTACTTAGAAATAAGGCAGATTTGCATTAACAAGAAAAGAGCTCCTAGCTGCAGAAAAAAGTATTTTTATTTATAAAAATTTAGTAATGTTTAACTTAAAAAGAGTCATGTAACTTTGTATACTCCTATGCATTCAATATTGTTTTATTTTATTAATGGAAAAAAGAAGAAAACATGATTGAAGGAAACATGAAGCGTTATCAGTGGTCATCTCTACATAATGGAATTATAGGTGCTATTTTTCCTTTAAACTTTTTAATGATGAGGCTATATTATTTTTTACAGTTGCTACATACACTGATTCCTTCCTACACTCCAGTTAGTGATTAGGTAAATTAATACATTAAAGGTCACAACTCAGGGAGCTTGGGTGGCTCAGTCAGTTAAGCGTTTGCCTCTGGCTCAGGTCATGATCCCCAGGTCCTGGGACTGAGCCCCGCACTGGTCACCCTGCTCAGTGGGGAGTCTTCTTCTCCCTCTCCCATTGCCCCTCCCCGCGCCTGTGTGCTTTCTCTCCCGATCTCAAATAAATAGTCTTAAAAAAAAAAAGGTCACAACTCTACATAACTATCATCAGCTCCATTTTACAGATGTGAAAACAGCAAAGAAATTGACTGTAAAGCCTATTATGAACTATGCTGCTAATCTCCCATGTGAAAACACTAAAAAATTTTAAGAAAACCAACTCCAAATAACTATAAATTTATGAGCAAAAGGCATAATGTAAAAGGAGTCCAATTTGCTACCTCAGAGATCTGAGGTGTTCCAAAATAACCAACTATAAATTTGGGTTCTAAACCCAAGAAATATACTGAAAGTTAGGGGTGCCTGGGTGGCTCAGTCGTTAAGCATCTGCCTTCGGCTCAGGTCATGATCCCAGGGTCCTGGGATCAAGCCCCACATCGGGCTCCCTGCTCGGTGGGGAGCCTGCTTCTCCCTCTCCCACTCCCCCTGCTTGTGTTCCCACTCTCGCTGTCTCTCTGTCAAATAAATAAATAAATAAAATCTTAAAAAAAAGAAATATACTGAATGTTTATTTTTGGAAACAAAACAAAACAAAAACTTCCTACATACATTCATGTATCTAGAGACCCCAAAATTTTACATTTGAGGGTATATGCTTTTTAGTACTAAGAACTAAGCTCTGATGGTAATCTGAATGGTTTCCTTCATAACACAGGAATACATTTTATATTTGAGAAGACACAAACCAGTTACCTTAAATTTCAAATAAATTATGTCAATTTCTAAATAGGTCGGTTTCAAAATGCACACTGGAATCATCTCATATTTGATAAATGAAAACACTACTTTATTTCTGAAAGCTACCCAAGAAAAAGGAAAACCACTTTTACAAATACTTGTCTTGAAACATATAAAATAAATGGATAACACCATCTTCTAATATAACTTCTTTTGAAAAGGTGGAAAGTTTATTGGAATAATGATTATTCTCATGGTTTTGCCTTTTCAGTTTATGAAGCAACAGAACTGGGAGGGAACCTTAGTTTACCTACTACAACCCCCACATCATACAGATGAGACCCAGAGAAAGTAATCTGCTGAAGGCCTTGCAGTTACTACGAGGCTGAAAAAGGTAAAACTCACTCAGGATTTTTTACTCTAAATCCAGAATCTTGATGTTTGAAAAGTATTACCTAATAATTTAGTGGGCTTACAGTATTTTGGGATCCTGTTCTCCTCTGTACTAATGGGACCTTTTAGACCTAGCACTGACAGAAAGCAGCAGACTAATCTCTATTGTATTATCCGTACTCACAGATTTACTATAGAATAAATGTTTTCCAAGCCTCTCTTTTCCAACATTGGCTTTCAAGTGAATCTTATTGGAACCCCAAAGTGGAAGCGATATAAAAACCAAACTGCTCCAGTAAAAACTGTACAGGGGTCCTGCTTTGATTTACCATTTTGTCCTTGTAACCTCTGAAATACTTCCATGGTACCTTAGGTCTCAGATATACATATATACACACACATACCATAAGCCCAAATTTTTATTAGTCACATGACGTAAAATTGGTTTAAGTTTCTAAATGCTTTTCTTTTTTTTTTTTTTTAAAGATTTTATTTACTTATTTGAAAGAGAAAGAGTGAGAGAGAGTGCACGAGAGGGGGTAGAGTCAGAGGGAGAAGCAGACTCGAGCCCGATGTGGGATTCCATCCCAGGACTCCAGGATCATGACCTGAGCCGAAGGCAGTTCCTTAACCAACTGAGCCACCCAGGCGCCCATAAGTGCTTATTTTCAAATTGTGCAATTATCTTGGCATAGACCAATAACAAAAAGCTTACAGACTACACTTTGAGTAACTATGCTCTATAGCAAACCAAACCTTAAAAGATGTTCCTGATCAAATCAGAATACCCAATATACTAAGAATGCAGTTAGAAACTTACTTCTTATCAAAAAATGTTGAATTTTCTTTTCTCTTGGTGAATCCATTGGGTAGAAGCTTTAAGTTAATACCTTGTCTTCTGGCACGATTTTTCATAAAGTACATCTAATAACCAAAAATAAATAAATAGACTAATTTTAAAATGCCTTAAGTTTCAGAAGTGAAAAAACAATGTTCAAAATATAACAGTTAAGATTTATTGGGTATTTATGTTTCACAGACTGCACTAAACAGCAATATCTCATTTAATCCTCACAATACTATCAGATAGGCACTATTACTACCCCCAATCCAGGAACGAAAGTTAATGAGATGCCAACATTATATAGCTATTTCCTGAGAGAGTGAGCCTGGGTATACTCAGGTATATCTAATTCTAGAGCCTGTGTTTTTAACCGTACATTCTATAAGCCAAAAGAAGGATGTAATGGGATTTTTAAAAATATAGGTCATCTGGCAATTCACAGGGGCTACCTGTACCGTGCCTTTTCTTTTACTGAAGGGTTTATACCATACGTAGCTGTATACATGCCTGCTCTGTTTATTAGACAGGTAGTTACACTCGGGAGGGGACCATGGCATTGCCTAGTACAAGGCCCAACTTAAAGAAGTCACTGCTGTAGAATATACAAAATGGGATATGTGAATAATCTGGCTCTGAAATGTGTTACTCCACTGACCATCTGCGTTGGCTGAGCTGAACTAGTCAACTCCAGAGAGTAGTGAAGGAAGTAGTATCATCAAGACTTCTTCCTTGATCTCTCAAATGGCAAAGTATAAATGCAAGTTTTTGGTTAAGTGAATGGGAATCTAGAATTTGCAATGCAAAGAATTAGACAATTAAATCATAAGCCAAGGGAAAGGAAGAGTCAGTTATCATTTATTAAGAAGGGAAATAATTTAAGAAATTACATGCAATTTTATAACTCATGGGACTTTGGTTTCAGTAATGGCAATGATTATAAGGACCAATCCTCCCAATGAAAACATCTAAGCATTACAGATAATGGAGGAAATAAATACATGTAATAAAATATATTTAAAAATCACCTTAAAAGCTTTGAAGAGCTGAAAAAAAAAAACCAGGAAAATACAAGCCATTATTTAGTGAAAAGCAAAAGCCACTTTTGCAAATTCTGGCAAATATAGGCTTTCCCTTTCAACAGCCTTCTCAGTAAGAGGGTTAGAGTTAAGATCCTGTAATCTTCTAGGAACTCCTCCTCAAATGAACCTCAGTAACAGAATATGCCTATTAGGCAATAATAAGATAAGGATGAACCAGAAATAAACCCTGACCCCAGAGCATGCGAGGAAATTTATATTGGAATGACTGGAACAGAGGGGATAAAGGAAAAACAATTCATCAGAACCTGTGGCCATGGGCCAGCTCTTGCTAAGATTTGAAATGATTTGCCTTGCTTGTGTAGTCAAGGGAATCTTAAACTTTCAACTTGGTTTAAGATAGGTCCAGATTTGCAATATTCCCCAGTACCTGGCAGAATAAAAGAAGGTCTGTGTCCTACTCTTCAAAAAGTTCTCACAAATAATTTAAGAAAAAAAAGGAGTACTCAATAAAAAATAAAGAAGCATAAATAATGCAAGAAAACAAAGGTCAGTGGGCAAGAACCGAAAGAGAAAAAAGAGGTAGCTGAGAATTCCCCATATATTCAGACACTAAAAGGATCATACACAGACTGTAGAACAGCTCTGCAAAATTTAAAAACATAACAGCTTGAAAATACGTGCAGTGAAGAGAACCTATAAAAACTGACTCAGGAGATTTTTTCAAAGAACTAAATAAAACTAGAACACTTCCAGAATATATTACAGAGACAAAAAAGATTTAAAAAATTTGAGACGTTAAAAGGTAGGTAAGATACAGGGAGAAGACTTAACTCACTTTGAATGGTAGTTTTAGAAGAAGAGAAGGAATAAGGCAGAGGTAATCTTTTAATAGAAATGGGCTGAAAATATCCCAGAACTGATGGAAGATATGCCACAGATTCAAGAAATCTAACAATTCTCAAGTTAAGATGAAAAAAAGAAATTTGCATTTTCGTATTATAGCACAAAAAAAGAATACCAAAGAGAAAAAAATGCAGCCAGATTAAGAGATTTTAAAAGCAATTAAAGACCAAGTGGGACTTATTCCTGGGCTGCAAGGTTGGTTCAACATCCATAAATCAATCAATGTGATACAATACATTAATAAAAGAAAGAACAAGAACCATATGATCCTCTCAATAGATGCAGAAAAAGCATTTGACAAAGTACAGCATCCTTTCTTGATTAAAACTCTTCAGAGTGTAGGGATAGAGGGTACATACTTCAGTATCATAAAAGCCACCGATGCAAAACCCACAGCGAATATCATTCTCAATGGGGAAAAACTGAGAGCTTTCCCCCTAAGGTCAGGAACACAGCAGGGATGCCCACTATCACCACGGCTATTCAACATAGTATTAGAAGTCCTAGCCACAGCAATCAGACAACAAAAAGAAATAAAAGGCATCCAAATAGGCAAAGAAGGGGTCAAACTCTCACTCTTTGCAGATGATATGATACTTTATGTGGAAAACCCAAAAGACTCCACACCAAAACTCCTAGAACTCATATAGGAATTCAGTAAAGTGGTAGGATATAAAATCAAAGCACAGAAATCAGTGGCATTTCTATACACCAACAAGACAGAAGAAAGAGAAATTAAGGCGTCGATCCCATTTACAATTCCACCCAAAACCATAAAATACCTAGGAATAAATCTAACCAAAGAGGCAAAGAATCTGTACGCAGAAAACTACAGAATGCTCATGAAACAAATTGAGGAAGACACAAAGAAATGGAAAAACGTTCCATGCTCATGGATTGGAAGAACAAATATTGTGAAGATGTCATTGCTACCTCGAGCAATCTACACATTCAATGCAATCCCTATCAAAATACCATCAACTTTTTTCAAAGAAATGGAACAAATAATCCCAAAATTTGTATGGAACCAGAAAAGACCCCAAATAGCTAGAGGAATGTTGAAAAAGAAAAACAAAGCTGGTGGCATCACAATTCCAGACTTCAAGCTCTATTACAAAGCTGTCATCATCAAGACAGTATAGTATGGCACTGGCACAAAAACAGACACATAGATCAATGGAACAGAATAGAGAGCCCAGATATGGACCCTCAACTCTATGGTCAACTCATCTTCGACAAAGCAGGAAAGAATGTCCAATGGAAAAAAGACAGTCTCTTCAACAAATGGTGTTGGGAAAATTGGACAGCCACATGCAGAAGAATGAAACTGGACCATTTCCTTACAACACACACAAAAACAAACTCAAAATGGCTGAAAGACCTAAATGTGAGACAGGAGTCCATCAACATCCTAGAGGAGAACACAGGCAGCAACATCTTCGACCTCAGCCGCAGCAACTTCTTCCTAGAAACATCGCCAAGGCAAGGGAAGCAAGGGCAAAAATGAACTACTGGGACTTCAAGATAAAAAGCTTTTGCACAGCAAAGGAAACAGTCAACAAAACCAAAAGACAACCGACAGAATGGGAGAAGATATTTGCAAATGACATATCAGATAAAGGACAAGTATCCAAAATCTATAAAGAACTTATCAAACTCAACACCCAAAGAATAATCCAATCAAGAAATGGGTGGAAGACATGAACAGACATTTTTCCAAAGAAGACATCCAAATGGCCGACAGACACATGAAAAAGTGCTCAACATCGCTCGGCATCAGGGAAATCCAAATCAAAACCTCAATGAGATACCACCTCACACCAGTCAGAATGGCTAAAATTAACAAGTTAGGAAACAAAGATGTTGGCGGGGATGTGGAGAAAGGGGAACCCTCCTACACTGTTGGTGGGAATGCAAGCTGGTGCGGCCACTCTGGGAAAGAGTACGGAGGTTCCTCACAAAGTTGAAAATAGAGCTACCCCACAACCCAGCAATTGCATTACTGGGTATTTACCCCAAAGATACAAATGTAGTGATCCAAAGGGGTACATGCACCCCAGTGTTTATAGCAGCAGTGTCCGCAACAGCCAAACTATGGAAAGAGCCAAGATGTCCATCAACAGATGAATGGATAAAGAAGGTGTGGTGTGTATACACACACACACACACACACACACACACACACACACACACACAAATGGAATACTATGCAGCCATCAAAAAACCCCCGAAATCTTGCCGTTTGCGACGACGTGGATGGAACTAGAGGGTATTACGCTAAGCGAAATAAGTCAATCAGAGAAAGACATGTATCATATGATCTCACTGATATGAGGAATTCTTAATCTCAGGAAACAAAATGAGGGTTGCTGAGTGGTGGGGGGTGGGAGGGATGGGGTGGCTGGGTGATAAACATTGGGGAGGGTATGTGCTAGGGTGAGTGCTGTGAATTGTGTAAGACTGATGAATCACGGACCTGTACCTCTGAAACAAATAATACATTGTATGTTAAAAAAAAAAAAAAGAAGACAGTAGGAAGGGAAAAATGAAAGGGGGGAAATCGGAGGGGGAGACGAACCATAAGAGACTATGGACTCTGAGAAACAAATTGAGGGTTCTAGAGGGGAGGGGGTGGGGGATGGGCTAGCGTGGTGATGGGTATTAAAGAGGGCACGTATTGAATGGAGCATTGGGTGTTATACGCAAACAATGAATCATGGAACACTGTATCAAAAACTAATGATGTAATGTATGGTGATTAACATAAAATAAAACAAAATTTAAAAAAAAACTAAATCTGAAAAAAAAATTTTGACCTAAATATATTCAAATATATACTGACTGAAAAAATATAAAAATGATCCTGATTGAATGAAAAAAAACCAACCCTTTTTATTATCAAAAAAAAGGGGGGGGGCAGTTAAAATTCCAGGTGACTGCAACAATAACAATGGAAGCCGTAAGACACTGGAACACTAATTCTAAACCAGAATTCCATACAGAAAAATCATTTCAAAATGAAGAATGGCAAATAAATAGAAATTCAAAAAAACCCAACCAAACAAAAAAAACCAAAAACCCGACAGAGGAACCCAAGACATGGCAAAGAGCAAACCCTCTCTAAAGGAAATTCTGAA